GGTTAGAGGATCCATCAGCTGTCCACTTATGGAAGAACTTGTAGGTCATACTGAAGAATTTGGTTCTCATTTTTGAGTCAATGATGATTCAATAATTCTCTTTGGATTGGTTAATTATAATGGAACAATATTAAACACAGATATGACATGGTCACTTTTGAGTTTTAGAGAGATCTCTCTGGATCTAAGGGTGTAGCTGAGTGGTAAAGTGTGTACTCAGCATGTGCAAGGCCCAGATTCAACCCACTGCCTGAGGAGGAGGAGAGAGAGGGAGAGGAGGAAGAGGAGGAGACCACTGCTCTAGAAACAAGGGGGTTGTAAAATAGATGAATTGAACCTGGAGGTAGAGAAATAGCCTAAATAACGGAGGTGACAGGACCCAGAAGCCAAACCACAAGACATGCAGAGGAAGTGACAGCAGAAGACAGGCCTAATTCCTTGAGGAGAGAAAGATGCTCAGGGTGAAGCCCAGCTCTGCCTTGAGTACCAGGGTCATGGTGGTACTGTCTACCTGTAAGTCTGAGCAGTCTGGATAGATGTCTATTTGAGTGGATGCTGAGCCCTAGGCTGCTCACAGCACGTACATGGGCAGGTGAAGGCTCTTTAGACTTCAGGAAGGGTGGAGCAGGATATGGGCTGAAGGCCAGGGAGAGTGGTCCAGAGACAAGCTGGCCATGTTGACCATGCCATCTGGCAGGCTCGAAGCCTGCTGGAGCTCAGTTAATCCATCCCAAGCCAACAAGATCCTGTTCCCTCCACCCATGAACTGGACTTGTGACTCAGACTTCATGGGTGTGATGCTGCTGGCGTTGATGAGTGGCAGTACTCCTGGGAGAGCTAGCCTAGTCCCAGGCTGAGCAGATGGCATGAAGGCCCTGGTGAGGCTAGGAGTGTTGGCCTAGCCAAAACCCAAAACCCATGTCTTGGCCTTTACCCTAGTAAGGCAGATGAAGAAATGGCCAGCATTCCCGCTGGTGCCCAGGTTTAAGCTTCTCTATTCTAATTGTATCGATCCCAGAACCTGTGTAGGCCTTGGCCTCTCTCCTTCCAGGAATCCCTGCTTAGTTCTCTTCCCTGGTGTTGTGATGGCTGCACCTACCTTATCTCATGGTCTTCTCTCCAGGGCCCTCACAGCCTTCTGGGAGTCAGCCTGCGAGCAGTGTGTATTTTCAGGCCTATCTATTTTTTAAAAGATTTTATTTTTGGTTATGTGTATGTGTTGGGGCAGTATTTGCATGTGAGTATAAAGCTTTCAGAGGCCAGAAGAGGGTGGCATAGGCCTCGGAGCTGGAGTCCCAGGCAGTCTTGCAAGAGCAGTACCTGCCCTTCACCACGGAGCATCTCCCCAGCCCAAACCCATATCTTAGATGAGTGAACATGCACAGGTCCAAAGAGGAGGAGGCAGGCACTCAAGTTCACCCAAGGATTGGTGGCTGGCTGGGACTTGAGTGTAGTCTAGCATCTGTCCACTATAGGTTATTTTCTTATTCCTCTCATCCTGGCTCTAATGGACTTCCTGGTATTTACTTTTTTGAGACTGCCGAGCTTGCTCCCACCACAGGGCCTTTGCCCTTCCATCCTTCTGCTTGGAAAGTTCTTCCCTCGGATCTGCAAGGTTTGCTCATTCTCTGATCATGTGCTCTGTCTAAGAGAGCAGCCTTCACCCTCCATCACTTGGCCTTACATCACCTGGTTTTTCTCCTCCACAGCATGCCCTGTGTTTACTGCTGCAGTCTTTGATCTCTGTCTACCCCATAGACCCAAGGGCCTTATACCAGGGACTTCACCCCACCTCTAGCTGAGTCCCTGTGATTCAAAAACTGCATAGAACATGAGAGACGCTTAGTTAATGTTTGTTGACCAGTCTGCCTCACTCACTCCTGATCCAGAACTGTCTGCTTGTCCCTTTGTGCATCCCAGAGCAGCCAAAGGAGGGGCAGGGGTAGGAGAACTTGGCTCAAGCTCCAGGAAAGCAGCCTTAGCCTTTGCTAAAGGCACAGCAGACACTCGGACCCAGGTCATGCCCCTGTGTCTGGCTATCTCCGGGAACCCAAAAGTACTGGAGTATCAGCAGGGACAATATTTGCGCCCCTACTTCAGATCCTTTTTTTCTCTGAGTTGGCATCATATCTACCATGGAGTCTCTGCCTTCTGCTTTCTCTTGGGTCAATCACTCGATGTTAACTGAGCACCTACTGTGTGCCAGACTTAGGGCAGATAAACAAAGTATCACCCTCTATCTCAGGAGTCCCATAGCTGTCAGCCAAGCAGATGAGCCAACATCATCAGAGCATGAGGGAGATGGCAGGGAGGAGGTGGAACCATGGGAGCAGGGCATGGGGGTGGCCAGTGACGGCAATGCCAGGTTGACAAGAGGCAGTTAGAGGTTTCAGAAGAGCTTCTAGGGCTTGCTCCGAAGGGCTGGGACGGCAGTGGAGAGCGGGCAGAGAGAGGGGAGACTCAACATAAGCCAAGAACACACATAGTGCAGGGCTGGAGAGTCACTCAAGGGGCAGAGGGCACTCACATAGTGTTCAAGGACCTGGGTCTGTGCTCGTGCTTGTGTGTGTGTGTGCGCGCGCGCGCACACACACACACACACACACACACACACACACACACACACACCGTGAGGGATACATTCCACAGAGGACACAGTTAAGCTAAAGAAATGCAAGCAAGCTATAGGAATTCAGTGAACAGTGAAGAGTGAGGAAAACCGGATGGAATTAAATGCTGAAGGGCCTTGAATGTCTGACTCAGGAGTTTGAACCAAACACTATTGGCAGTGGGCACCACAGCAGTGTTTTGGGCTAAGGTGAACTGGCCAGTTTTTGCACCTTTTTAGTGGTTTATCTGGTCACTTTCCTCAAGGGAGTTTGGGGTGGCAGATGGGAGCCAAGGAAATGACTCAAGGGCACTGTCGAAATGACCAGAATGCAGACAGCCGTGGTGGGACTGGGGGAGTACCAGTGGATCTGGAGGAGGAGGGTGGGTTCAAGAGCTGGTCAGGATCCTCGGTCATGGTGGCCCACACCCGTCATCACAGCACTTGGGAGGTAGAGGAAGGAAGGTCACACTTCAAGGTCACCTTTGCCTCTGCAGGGAGTTTGAGGCTAGCCTGTAGGAGACTCTGTCTAAAACCAAACAAGAAAGATTCAGGAAGCAGACACACACACTCAGGCTAAAGGTTAGCTCCTGAGATCCCATTGTTGGATGTTACTGGAGCATGGGGTAGGCAGCAGAGATCAAGGTGGATTGGACTCGAGGGACTAGCCCAGGCTCATCCCATGCACCTCCCCAGCTCACTGACCTTACCTCCCCACCCCCCTACCCCCCTCACTCCCCCCACCCCCGCCTATGGCTTTCCTATTCTTTGTTTATAACAAGCCAGCCTCAGGCCTCTCACATCATTTCCTCTGTCCATAGCACCATTCCAGTAAATTACAGTCTGCCTTACCCCCAGGCTTTCTCGGGCCATCCCAATAGACAGGCCCATTTTAATGTCTCTCCTATGACTCCAAGGATGTCTCATTTACAGGATTTACTGCGATGATGACCATGCAGGTCTACTGCTTGGTTAGATGTTGTGGAATATTCGTTTACACTATAAAGATGTGTCTTTGCCAAGGTGCCTTCTGATGGGTTTAATAAAGAGCTAAATGGCCAATAACTAGGCAGAAAGAGGTTAAGCAGGACTTCCGGGGATGGAGAGGACTCTGAGAAGAAAGGTGGAGTCATTGGCCAGATGGAGAGGAAACAGGAGGTACAAGATGTAAGAAAAGTAAGGCCCGTGACAGAACATAGATTAATATAAATGGGCTAATTTAAGTTATAAGAGCTAGTTGAGATAAGCCTAAACTAAAGGCTGAGCTTTCATAATTAATGTCTTTGTGTGGAGCTGGTGGTCCTAACAAGAAAGTACCCTTACAGCTAGAACCTGTCACCCTGCTGTACCACAAACTTCCTGGGCCGGGAGGGGTCTGCTGCAGTTATTCCCTAATGTATTGATGCTTTCAGCCTTGAGCTGGGCACTTAGCTGCTCGTTAAGCACATATTAATGGATGGGTTATGCATTAGTGAATGAGGCTCATTTAGATGGATTGAAGCCAAGGTCAAAGCTGAGACCCCCAAGGAGTCTCAGGGCAGCAGATCTCTTGGGCAAAGAGCTCTGTTCAAAACTTTCCAATGGTGAACGCGGTAGGTAGTGAGCTCCCTTCCCATCACCACAGGGTCAGCGGCTTCCTGGTTGGAGCTGCTGGGGAAAAACCTGAGTGGAAGGTGGGTGACCTGACTTTGAGAACTGTTTTGAGTCCCCTCTATCAAGGGCCTTGCTTTACAACAGGAAATCATCATTAATTATCCACTTGGCTCAACAGTGGAAGGGCATCCGCCACCTGCCTCAGAGGCATCCATGGACCTATGCAGATCCCTAAAGAGGGGCAGGATTTTGAACCTGAATCAAGGACCAAGGGGGACGTCAGGCAGGGCTCTACCACAATCTGGTCCTTAGAGGTGTTTGCTCACTGCCTGCTGACACCCAAAGAACTTTCCTATTGATTCATTATACCATTCTTCTTTTTTTTTTTTAATAGTTTTTTGTTTGTTTGTTTGGTTTTGGTTTTTCGAGACAGGGTTTCTCTGTGTAGTTTTGGTGCCTGTCCTGGAACTCACTTGGTAGCCAGGCTGGCCTCGAACTCACAGAGATCCGCCTGGCTCTGCCTCCCAAGTGCTGGGATTAAAGGCGTGCGCCACTGCAGCCTGACCTCATTATACTATTCTTACAGCTTTTCTGAGGCTTGAAATCTTTCAAAATAAGTAACTCTTTCACAATGAAAAGGCAGTGCTAGCCAGGCGGTGGTAGCTCACACCTTAATCCCAGTGCTCGGGAGGCAGAGGCAAGTGGATCTCTGTGAGTTCGAGGCCAGCCTGGTCTACAAAGTAAGATCCAGGACAGCCGGGACTATTACACAGAGAAACCCTGTCTCGAAAATAAACAAATAAATAAAAGAAAAGGCAGTGCTTTATTTTTATTTATTTGTTTATATGTGTATGTTTTTAATTTAGTGGTGAGGGGATCAAATAAAAAAAATGATTGTTGGACATTTAAAAAAAAAATGTAGCCAGGTGGTGGTGGCACATATCTTTGATCCCAGGACTCTGGAGGCAGAGGCAGTCAGATCTCTGTGAGTTCAAGGCCAGCCTGGTTTATAATGTGAGTTTCAGGGCAACTAGGACTATAATACAGAGAAACCCTGTCAAGAAAAACCAAATAATAATAACAATAATAATAATTTTTTGTGGCAGGGTCTCGTGTATCCCAGGCTGGCTCAGACTCTCTACGTGGCTGAGGATGATGCTGAAACTCTGATTCTCCTGCCTCTGCCTCCCAAGTGCTGGGGTTACAGATGATCATCACCACACCTGTTTAAAGGGGTGCTGGGGAGCAGAGCCAGGACTTCATGCTTACTAGACAAACACCCTACCAACAGAGACACATACCAGCCCATTTGAAGTCTTGAGACACTGTCTTACTAAAGTGCCAGGCTGACCTCAAACTTGCCCCCTCTTACTCCAGCCTTACAAAGCAGCTGGCATTACAGACTTGCACCACCACTACTGCCTAGCACCTGTGCTTTCAAATTCTCTCCTCAGGGAAAAGTAATCTGTAGGTAGAGCTTACAAACCTCGATCTAACTTCATTTGAGAAAATCGTTTGTAGATATAATTGTTATTTTTAATAAATCAGAAATTATTTGAAAGCAGACAACCAAATTACTCATTCATATATGTTATATAAGCATGAGGGTTCTAGGTGCTGCTCTTCTTGGAAAGAATCTTGTCTGCTTCCTGTGAAAATGCAAATGGGCACAAAGGACCTGAAAAGCATTACAGCACTTTCTGTTTGCTAAATTTGGGGTTTTGACATTTATTATTTGTTTGTTTGTTTATTAACTTTGTGTGCATGTGTGTACATGTGCTTGTACCATGGTGTATGTATGGGGGTCAGAGGGCAGTTCTATGGAATCTGTTCTCTCCTTCTACCTTTCCATGATCCCCGGGTACTGTCAGGCGTGGGCTACAGGCCCCGTTCACCTGCAGCTCAACAGTGTTTTTGATTCTCTGAGACAGAGTCTCAGTTGCAGTTCTGGCTGATCTTGAACACCTGGCAGCAATCCTCCTGCCTCAGTCTCCTAAGTGCTGAGATTGCAGGCATATGCCACTGCAGCCAGGTTAGCATGTCTCTCTTACTATGTTTTTTTTTTGAGAGGAGGCTACAGGATATGGGGGCTAAGCCATAGAATATGTGAAATATGATGTAATTTCTTTTATTTTCTTAGATTTATTTATCTTATGTGTATGAATGTTTTACCTGAAAATGTGTATGTGCACCATGTGCATGTCTGGTGTTTGAGGAAGTCAGAAGAGAGCTTCAGACACCCTGGTACTAGAATTATAGATGGTTGTGAACCACCATGTGAGTTCTGGGAATTGAGCCCAAGTCCTCTGCAAGAGCAGTAAGTGTTATTAACCACTGAGCCATCTCTCCAGCCCTGGTATGCTGTAATTAAAAAATATATATATTGTCCGATAGTTGTATCCACTTTGTGGTACCAAAAAAAGGGGGTGGACATGGAGGGCTCATTAGTTAAGAGCATATACTGCTTTTGCGGCAAACCCAAGTTCAGTCCCCAGCACCCATATCAAATGGTTCAGTCATCTGTAACTCCAGCTCTAGGGGATCTGATGCCCTCTTCTGTGCTCCACAGGCACCTACACTCATACATGCACACACCCACACACAGACACACATGCCTAAAAGAAAAAATTTTAAACATTAAAAAACAAAATAAAAGTAAATTTTAGGGGCTGGGGAGATGGATCCGTGGTTAAGGCACTTGTTGCTCTTGCAGAGGACCTGGGTTTGGGTCCCAGCACCCACATAGTGTTTCACAACCATCCTTAACTCCAGCTCCAGGGGATCCAACATCCTCTTTTTTGTTGGTTTGGTTTGGTTTTGGTTTTTCTCTGTGTAGCCCTGTCTGTCCTGGAACTTGCTCTGTAGACCCGGCTGGCCTCAAACTCGGAGATCCCCCTGCCTCTGCCTCCTGAGTGCTGGGACTAAAGGTGTGCACCACCACTGCCTGGCTTCCACACCCTCTTCTGAGCTCTGAGGGCACCAAACATACACATGGTGCCCACATATACACAGGCAAAACACTCGCGTGCATAAAATAGAAACCCATCTTCTTAAAATCTCTTTAAAACGTTTTCAAAATCAGTTCTCTGTACATTTACCTTATTCCACACTTCACATTCCTGTATGCTGTCACCACCACTGTCCTCAATGCGCCCTGGGATATAGGTAGAGCCAGAACTATCATCTTTATTTTGTGTATGGGTAAACTGAGACCCACTTAGGCAGGTCTGGTGGTACTGTTTGGAAGGATGAGGCAGAAAATTCAAGGCTTGCCCGGTCTACAGAGTAAGCTCGAGGCCAGACTAAGCAGCTAAGGGGGACCCTGTCTCAAAGTGGGGAAAGAGGGCTGGGCTTCGAAGAAAAGCATTCGCCCAGCACTCACGAGACACAAACTTCAATCCTCAGCACCAGAACCAAATAAACACGCAACTGAGGTCCAACTAAGGAAAGCGACTCTTCTGGAGGCACGGATTTGGCAGAGGCGGCCCCGGCAAAGCCACCGGCGACTCCCTTCCCTGTCCCCTGCCTCCAGCTGCCCCCCACTTACTTCTCAGCGCCCCACCTCTGCTCTGTTCGGTGTTCCTCTCCACTTCCATCCCTTCCCCTTGCTTTCATCAATAAACGGAGTCAGCTTTGCAAGCCATCCAAACCTTTGCTCGCTCTGGAAACTTGCCCAGCCCTAGCCCGAGCCCGGGCCCCAACACCTATCACCACAAAGTCGGCATCGTGCCTTGAGTGAGCCTTTTCCAGGTGTCAGGATGAAGAGATTAACTTGGGGTGACACTCTGGCTGCCAACTGGCCCCAGATAAGATAAGGGTGGAGATCAGCGCAATAAATAGGTCCCAACCTCACTCTTGGCCCAGGCCACGGTTGGCTGAGGTCATACCTAACTTCACAAGCAGCATGGCTCTGCACCTGTGGATGGTCACCCTGACCTTGGCTGCCTTCCTTGCCATGGACAGGGGTGAGTGGGCAGAACTTGGTTTCTCTGAAGCTTGATCCTAGTAGGTGAGCTTGGGTGTGAGGACAGAGGCGAGATCTGGAGCTTCCTGTGGGGCCTGAGCATAGTTCTTCCTTCCGCATTCATCTACTACAGTGGGCAAAACACGGACTGAGGGAAAAGAAACGGGTTCAGGCCTGACTCTGGACAAAAACTGCCACGTCGGGTGCTCTTCCAGTTCAAAGCTGCATTGAGCAATTATGGGCTGGCGGCTGGGGAGACAGGGACAGTCAGGCCTCAGGCGGGCTGTGGGGTAGTGAGTGCTGAGAGACTTGGCCTGGGCCCTCAGGTTCCGGTTCTGCTTTGACAAGGTGTAGTATGGGGCCCAGGACAACCATTTAAGCATATGGCAGGGGCCCTTGGGTGGTAGACACCAGAGGTGAGCTTCCTCAGGCCTGGAGCACTCAGCAGAAAAAGTACCATCCCAACAGAGCTTAAGCCTAGTGGGATTGAGGAGGGGAACAGACAATACATAGTATATAAGAACATGATAAAGGCTAAGAAATATGGGGCTGGGGGTGGGGGTTGGGAGGGAGCTGCAGTTTTCAATCAGAGGAGGTCTCTTAGGGAGGTTCAGGTTTGAGGAAAGCTTGAAGAAGGTGAGGGAGGGAAGATATTTTGGACAAGAATGTTCCGATGGAGGGAACAGCCAACACAAGGGCCTAACGTAGAAGTGTGTCTGGAATGTTTGAGGTGCTGTGTGGATGGAGGGAGCGAAGAGCGCAGTACAAAATGAGGGGGAAGGAGAAGGGAGGAGAGAGGGGAGAGGAGGGGAGGGGAGGGAGGGAAGGGGAGACAAGAGGAAGGGAGAGGAGGGGGAGGAGGGGAGGGAAGGAGGGAGAGGAGGGGAGGAGAGGAGCGAGAAGAGCAGAGCAGCTGGGAAGTATGTTAAGCAGTTTTAGGAGTTCATGTAAGAATCTTCCTCTGAGTGAAGTGGGAGCCAGTGCCATATTTGGAGTGGAGTCAGGCCTTGAAAGAATGCTCTAGTTTGTATGTTCAGAATAAACAGAACAGAGAAACAGAGAGACCCGTTGGGACTCACTCGAAGAGTTATAACATTATGAAGCAGGACCTGGCAGGACCTCAGGGCCATTGGCTCCATGCCCATTACCTCATGTTAGTCACAGACCTGGCAGCTGGGTTGGTGAGGAATAGGCCTGCAGGCTCTGGTCAGACACAGGCTGCCTAATCTACCCCCGACACCCCCACCACACACACCTGTTCCCCATTCCCCAAGACCGCCTCCATTGGGAACATTAAGCAGCCTGCCTTGAAGGTCCTTGCATCCACTTCAGATTCCAGCCTTAGTTGAATGAAGGATGCACCTGGGGGAAGGGCACGAGATGCCTGGGGTTAAATACAATGTTTTCACAACCCCAGGAAGAAATTCTGACCCTGTAGGGTTCTGTATTCTCCTTTCCTGCAACACCCTTCAGTGCTCAGCTCACTGGTTGGGGCACTGGTGAGGTGCCACGGGAGCCCCAAGAAGCTTGGGTTCATAGGGAGGCGGGGTGACCCAGTGGGACAGCACTTGGATTGGTGACAAGCTCAACTCCAGGTCTTCTTAGTGAACTGTAGGGGACAATAGGGAAAGCTTCTGACCCTTGGAAGGATGGTGTGACTCCATTGGAGGACAGTGGGGACATCTCAGCAGATCTGCATGAGTCAAAAAAGCCCCTGGTCCAGGACAGTGAACAGCCAGGAACCTTTGGGTCCTGGGGACATGGAGGATATATTAGATAGTAAGCCTGGGGAGCGAGGCTGGTGTCCGTTCACACATGTGGCTATGGACTGCTGGCCCAGAGGGAGACTGGACAGTGATGGGCGCCAGGGAAGGTCGCTCTGCCTTTATCAATGTTTGGAGTTTTTGTTTTGTTATATGGTTCAGTCTGACCTTGAACTTTTGATCCTTCTGCCTCAACCTCCTAAGTGCTGGGGTTATAGGCCTCTACCATCACACTCAGCCTTTGTAAATGCTTTTCTATAAGGTCATGAAACACATAGTATTTTTATTCAGTGAATCTTATGGATGAGCTGGGACAGTGCACACACCTGTGTCCCAAACCTCTCTCAAGATACAGAACGCAGCTGGGGGAGGTTGTACACTCCTGTAATCCTGGGACTTAAGGATTACTTAAGGAAGCAGGTAAATATGAGTTTGTGGCCAGCCTGATCTACATAGCAAGTTCTAGGCCAGTCACGGCTACATAGCAAGACCTTGTCTCAACAACCAAACAAGATACAGAAATTTCTCTCCTGTAGTCCATCCTGGTCCTTCCTTGACTCAGAGACAGCAGTACTGCTCAGTGTTCAGAGGCAATCACGCACACCTCCTTGCCACCCTGACCTGCCTTCTCCATATCACAGAGATCTCCGTATATCAGATCTTATAGCAGATCTGTTCTAGGCGTCCACGGAGTCTTTTGTACCTGTTTCTTTGCTCAGCTAAGTATTTTTGCAATTTGGCCTCAACGTGTCTGTTAGGTGCTTTCACTGTTGCTGTTAGCAGCTTTAAAAAGATTTCACTTTTTAGGCCGGGCGGTGGTGGCGCACGCCTTTAATCCCAGCGCTTAGGAGGCAGAGGCAGGCGGATCTCTGTGAGTTTGAGGCCAGCCTGGTCTACAAAGCGAGTTCCAGGAAAGATGCAAAGCTACACAGAGAAACCCTGTCTCGAAAAACAAAAACAAACAAACAAACAAACAAAAATTTCACTTTTTAAAATTATGTATATGCATGTGTGCTTGTTTGGGGGGGGTAGGTAAATGTGAGTGTAGGTTCCTGGAGAGGCCAGAAAAGGGTACTGAATCCCCTGGAGCTGGAGTTACAGGCAGTTGTGAGATGTTCAACATGGGTGCTGGAATCAGAACTCAGGTCCTTTGCTAGAGTAGTATATGCTCTGAGCCATCTCTCCAGCCCTGTTTTCTGATTTTTCAGACAGGGCCTCTTTATGTATTCTAGGCTGCCCTCAAATTCCTGATCCCCCTGCCTCAGCCTCTTTGAGTACTGGGATTACAGGTCTGAATGGGAATGTCCCCCCACAAGCTCAGGCATTTGAACACTGCTCCCCACCCAGGGTGCTGTCTGGGAAGGTTGTGGAACCTTTGTGAGGTGGAGCCTTGATAGGGGTGAGCTTTGAGTGTTTACAGTCTTTGTTCCTGTGGTTGAGGATATGAGCTCTTGGCTTCTGCTCCAGTCCCCATGCATATAGATGGCTGCCATGTTTCCTGACCATGATGGATTCTTATCCCATTGGAACCATAAGACAAAAGAAATTCTTTTAGAAGTTGCTTTTGGTCGTGATGTTTTATCACAGCAACAAAAAGTAATCAACACATACACCACAGCCATTAGCTGCTTTTCTGCTGTGTATCTGTGTTGTTCGAGACAGGTCCTCTGCAGTCAGGATAACGTGGAACTCACTGAGGTCAGGCTGACCTCAGACTTGTGGTAATCCTCCTGATCTGCCTCTTGGGTGTGCTTGTTTTCTTGCTGAGCAATGCTCCACTGTATACAAGTTTCACACTTTATCTGTTCTCCTGTGGGAGGACACTTGGGTCATTCTTAGTTATGACAGGTATGGCTCTTGAGCACTGTGGTGACAAGGTTAGATTTACAGTTTGATCCTCCATTGCCAGACCGGCAGAACACACTAGAGGTGACTTGGTTTTAGCCCCTTTTCTCTCCGTCTGGGAAATCTCCAAGGAAAAACTTTGCAGTAGATGTGGAACTCTAGAGCTAGAGACAGGTCCCTTTATGGTACCACAGCTTTCTGCTCCATACGGAGTCATATAGTCCACCTCCCTGCGGCCTCTTGCACTGACAGGCTCCTCTATGTGAACGTGGGAAGAGCCCATCTCTCCACCAGGCCCTGACAGCCCTCCAGCGGCGTCTGGAAGCACCCATTCCTTCTCCAGCTCTCAGAACCACTCACTCTTCCTCCTGCCTGTGCCTTAACTGTGGCTCAAGTTCTCGTGCCCACCGGCCATGCCCACGGCCATGCCCACGGCCATGCCCACCGGCCATGCCCACGGTCATGCCCACCGGCCATGCCCACGGCCATGCCCACCGGCCATGCCCACCGGCCATGCCCACGGTCACACCGCTTTGCTCATGTCCTATAAGTAACCCAGGCAAACCTTGAGGGCTATGACTATTCGTGTAGGGAGTCAGGCTTGGGGTGGCAAACCTGTATGTGAGTCCTAGCTCTGCCTTACCCAACCATGTCATTAGAGCTCTGAGCCTTTCTTAGGCCAGTCAAGTGTTCCAGCAGACAGACCGGAGTCTGCACACCCTCACTGGGAAGTGTGGGAGTGCTACCCATGGGAGCAAGGAAGCTGGCTGAGTGTAACCTGTGTCAGGTGGCCCTGCAGGAAGCTCTGGAGTGGGGTGGCATGAGAGCTGAGCCCTTGCAGCCACATTGTTGTTAGGGGACGTCCATGGCACGGGAGGCAAGGCTGGCTGAGGCAGCTCCAGCCCCCAAGGGTAATTCCTAAGAAGGGACTGCTTGTGAAGAGCCAGCACTCCCAGCAGCTGGGGCTGGTACCACAGTCCTGCGCTCTCTGGGTAGCAGACACAGCATTTACTACCTGCACTCATCCTTCTGTTAGGGTGGTGAGGGGTGGAGAGAGTACCAAGAACCGTGTCTCAATGTCTGGCACATCGCTAACTGCTCATTTCTTTATATTATTATTTGATGGAACACAAAAATTCCACTGGGATCTGAGTAATTAGAAGCAGGTTGGGTTGTCACCCCCTAATTCTGTCTTTATTCATGCAACTCAGCATGATGTCAGCCTTCTGGCAGCCCCACCACTTATGACTCACTACCTGTCCTCAAGAAATCCAGATTGGCAGTGGCTGGGCCAGGTGCCCCAGGATGGGAGGAGGGGTCCTCAGACCCTGACCTGGCAGCCAGCGCTGACAGCAGCTTGTTTTGTGTTTCAGGGGTGCAGGTGGGAGCACAAAAGAGTATTTCCTCAAAAATGGTAAGGCATTTCCTCTGCGGGAGTAAGGCAGACTCTGCAGGAGTCCGCTCATCCACTCTACACAGCCACCCTCTGCTGACACCTTCAATGGTGGCCAAGGTGGACTCCTGAACCTGCGTTTTCCTCAGAATACCTCCTCTGGACTGAGCAGAGCCCCCAGGCTCTGCCCCAAATCTCTCCAAGGTCCTTTCCTTGGTGGGCACTCCCCACCCAGCACAGTAGGACACTGCACCTGCTGCCCTGTGTGTAGCACAAGACAGGCCAGAGGCTGCAGGCCAAAGAGGTGACCCAGCACACTGAGTGGCTCTGTGGAGCATGTTGACCTTTCTGAAACACGTCTCATCATTCACCCCTTCACACCAGCAAACACCAAGCCGCCCTGCCTGACTCCAGCTGGGGTCTCAGACCCTCAGTGACATGACCTCTGTAGGGTCCTCAGAGCCACCTCCCCAAGCAGCTTCTTCCCTATTCATTAGCCCCTCAGAACCCAGCCCCATTTATTTCATGCCAAAGAGCCAAATACTTTGTATACATGACTTCAGCTACTCCCGTGTTGAGACGAACACCATTACTGACCATTTTCACTGAGGAGGAAACTGAGGCCCTGAGAATGGAACAAGCTCACCTAAGTTTACAAAGCCAGTCAGTGTCTGAACTGGGGTCTTCAGGGTGTAGACTTCAGTTGTCCTGTTTTGTTCCTTTGGGCCTTGTGTAGCGCAGGCTGGTTTTTATCTGGTTGCGCTGATCAACTTGAACTTCTGCTCCCCCGCCTCCACCGTGCCCAGTGTAGAGCATGGATATTTACTGCTACCCAGCACAGACTCCCTCAGCACCTCCTTTACCCAGGTCCAACCCCAGTCTTGCCAGTTCTCTCTCAGCCCGAGAACCTTTCAGTCTGGGACTAATTAAACTGTAAGCCTTGCGCCATTTCTCCAGCCTTCCAAGGGCCTAGACGACCACGTAAGGGGCTGGGAGAGCTCAGTCAGTAACTGCTTGCCTTGCAAATGTGAAGACCCAGGTTCGATCCCCGGCACCCATACAATCCTAGCACTTGTGAAGCAGAGATAGGAACATCCCTAGGGCTTGCTGGACAGCTGGCCTGGCCTCCTTGGTGAGTTCTAGGTCATGAGAGAACCTGTCCCAAATAAATAAGAGAAATGGGTCCTATGGAACAACATCCAATGTTCAATGGCCTCTGCATACATGCATACATGTAGCCCCCTCCCAGGTACACAAAAAAGACCATATTGGCCTTGGTAAGTACAGGAGCCCCTACGGTGTGAGACATTCCCTAGGAATGATGGACGGCTGTTTACTGGACTCACAATTGGACCAGCAGCAGAATTTCTTGTTATATCTACTGAAGAGTATATAAACCAGTCCCCAGGAGCTTAAGGACACAAACTTCCTACACACACACACACACACACACACACACACACACACACACACACACACAAATAGGCAGGATGTCACAAACCAGGGCTCAACAGACAGGCTCCAACTTATGTATACATCCAGCCACATGCACTCACACAGGCAAACACACCATAAAGTCCTGAGTAGTTGATTGCATGTTCCAAGCAGAGGCCCTGGGCCCGACCACTTTGTCTGAATTCCCCCAATACTTCTGTTTTCCACAGCCCATCTGTGAGCACATGGCAGAGTCTCCAAAGTGTCCCCAGACACCTAAACCGATCTGCGGCACAGATGGGGTGACATATAAAAATGAATGCCATCTCTGCGTGACCCGGATGTAAGTCCCCTCCCCGTCCAACTTGCTTGGGTGGCCCCCTCTCTGGTACATGCACATCTGAAGGGAGCAGGGCTTCCACTCACCTGTCACACACACAGACTTGGCCAGAGAAGAGTCCTCAAACCTTTGCCTAGCAAAATGAGCTAAATGTAACTCAAAGGAAGCACAGGACTCCAGGTCAAAAGCCAGAGACTGACAGATGTGGAGGGAGGAGGCAGAAACCCTGAGTGGCCAGACAATCTCATCTGATCTTTCATTCCTCTAGCCAACTGTTATTTAGTGAGCACTTACTATGGCTAGTCCCCGAGAGCTTCTCTAGTTTCTTGGAGTCAGGCTAAGAGAGAGAAGCCAAGCCAATAAGCCAGTCAACAGCAGAGCAGCTCAAGACTCAGATGGAGCACACAGGAGCAGGGCCAGGGGACACTAGAGGAGGTAGACTAGAAATCATCTAGAAAAAAGGAAAGAAAAGTCTGAGAGAACAAAGGGAATTTAGAAAGGCCTATAAAGGAAAATTAGTTTGTGCTTAAAGAAATACAGAAAGTTGGACATAGTAAAATGGGAAATGGAGGAGGGATGATAAAGGAGATGAGTCGGGGCTAGACCATGACCTTGACCACCTACTTGGTCTCAGTTTTCTCACCAGTACAGTCATCAGCCTGAGGGCCCAGTGAGATCACGGGGAGAAATCTTGGGCAATGCCAAGCTGTCTAGGCAGATGTGAAAGTCTGTATTGGAGGGAATGTAAGAAGGTAGAGCTCTGGCTGTGAAAGGGTCACGATCAAGATTCATGAGGAGGTGGTACATTGGGGTAGATCTGACAGGCTCAGTCTGACTGGTGTGAAGGGGGAGGGGAGAAAGGGCATAAGAACAATTGCCCTTCCTCCCTTCCTTTCCTCTTTCTGAAACAGGGTCTAGCTATGTTGTCCAGATTGGTCTTGAACTCATGAGCTCAAGGAATCCATGGTTTGGTTTTGTTTCAGTACTAGTGATTGAGCTACAGCTCCACCTTTATTTTGAAACAGGGCCTTGTTAGGGTGCACAGGCTTTGAGCTCATTTTATAAAGCTCAGGGAAGCCTTCATGTTAGAACCCTTTGCCCAGCCTCCCAAGTAAGGGATTCTAGCCCTGTAGTTCCAGGCCTAGTAACTTATTTACGTATGGCCTTGGGTGGCTAGTGGTATCATTTGCTAAGATGGGAGCTAGAAGGGCAGCTTTGGGAGGCAGTGATGTCTGTGGACAGTTGGTCTCTGGTGTATCTTGGTGGGGTCATTGCAATAGGTACAAAAACAGGCAGGACAAAGATTTGGCAGCCATCAGCAAGCAGTGATAGCTGAAACCCCAAGAAGCTGAAAGTTCTCAGGGTATGTGTAAGAGCGTCAGTTTATAGGGGGATGTGCTCCCCCCCTCCACACACACACCTGCTCTGCATCTGGACATTTCCAGGAGGGGCTCAGAGGGAGGATGGCCTGGGCCTGGCTTTTGAATCATCCTTTTAGTTCCTACAGTTAATGGCCTCATCCTTATCTTCTTTGATTCTAGAAAAACCCAAAAGGATATCCAGATCAGGAAGGATGGCAAGTGCTGAGCCCAGAGGCGCACTCAAGCCATGCAACCTCGAGCTGGAGAACGCGATGCTCCAGAGGCTATGGTGGGAAATAAAAGATGCAGCCCAAGCCGGTGAAGTGGACCAGTCTTTGGGAACTCTGGGGAGGAGGTGCCAGCGAAGGATAGGCTCAGCCTGGCTAGCCCTCCCAGCTGAGCCTGTTATCCGGCTACCCTGGCCCTCAACCTTGTTACAGGTCCCAATAGAGCCCTCAGTTACCTTCCGTTTGCTTGAGGTCAGACTTTGACCCCAGGACACTGCCCAGTGCCCCACCTACCTCAGGCCAAGAACTTAAGAGATAAGCATCCTGAACTGCCCAGTGTGGTTCAGTGGCACCAGAATCCATGCACGTATTTCTTCTGGGCTGACCGGCGCTTGGAGGCAGACACACACACACACACACACACACACACACACACACACACACACACACACATACACACACACAAGCTTGACAAGGCATGGCAGGCATACAGGCAGTATTTACTGTACAACTGAACTGCTTCTTATAATATCAAACTATTTTGTTTTGGATTGAAACCATTTTAACTGTGGAACCCAGGCTGGCTTTAAACTCTCAGGCCTCCTGCCCCAGCCTTCTGAGTGCTACAAACTAGGTGTTTATAATATTATAAACATTCAAAACTGAGCAATGTTCCATGCTCTGTGAGTGCTTTCCTGCACAGCTCACCCAGAGAGCTCTGGATCTCAGGTCCAGTCTCATGTCAGCTCCTAGCATAGCAGGGTGACTGGAAGACCTTCCCTGCCCAAGTTAATATCTACTTTGACTGGCTGACATTAGACATGATCATATAGGCACATACATCCAGAAATCCCACATACTCCAGCTCAGCGGTTCTCAATGCTGCGACCCTTTAATACAGTTCCTCATGTTCTGATGACCCCCCCAACCATAAAATTATTTTCATTGCTGTATCACAATTTTGCTACTGTTATTAATCATAATGCAAATATCTGATATGCAACCCCTAAAGGGGTCATGACCCACAGGTTGAGATTCACCGCTCCAGCCCATAGTATATGCTGAATAACCTCTACTGGCCAAAACCTATAGAAGCATTTTTGTTTTGAAACAGTCTATGTAGCGCTGGCTGGCCTGGAACTTGCCCTGTGGATCAGGCTAGCCTCAAACTCAAGAGAGATCTGCCTGCCTCTGCCTCCTGAGAGCTGGGATTAAAGGTGTGCATTATGACCCTCAGCAAAATTTGATTATTATACATATATGGATGTCTGTGTATGAAGAGGCGAGAAGGGCAGGGGATCCCCCTCCCCCGAGAACTGGAGTTACAGTTGTGAGCTGCCATGTGGGTGCTAGGAATTGAACCCAGCTCCTCTGCAAAGCAGTCAGTGCTTTTAACCTCTGAGTCATCTCTTCAGCTAGAAGCCTCTTGACATGAAGGCAGGGTAGTGGAGTGTGGAGGGGCCTGGCCAGGCAGTAACAATTTACTCAGGTCCAGATTCCTGCTCTAGGGGTGTGAAAAGGACAGAAATGCTCTGGAATGACACATCTGAGGAAAGCCAGTCAAGAAAGGCAAACCCCAGCATCCCCCTGCTTGCTTGTCTCACTTCACTGCTCCAGTGAATGCTGATTCACAGGTGGCAGGGGCTTTGGTCAGCTGCCAACAGGCTTTTCCATCGCTGTGACCAACTGGTTCCCACCTGCAGCTCAACAGTATAGGGTTAAGTATATCCTTATCCTAGCCAAACCAAACCAAACACAAACCACAAGAGGAGCAGGCTTAACTGTGTGGACGCTCATTCTCCTCACACAGGTCTATGCCGACCAGCACGGTATGCCGACCGGCAGCTCCGTGCTCTGGGCTGTTCCTCGATCACCTTCACTTCAGCCTGTCTCCGTATGAGGCAGCTGCTCCGATGGCAGCCATCATCTACACTCCAGGCCACAGATAAGGCAAGGGCACCATCTTCCTCCAGAGACACTGCATTCCACACAGGCATAGTATGCTCATATCCCAATGTCTTAAATGTCACCTCTTGGCCAGGTAACAGCAAGGAGACTGAGAAATCTAACCCTAGGCTCTGTTAAACTAAAAATTAGGAGTTAGTGCAGGAGGGGAGGTGAGTACTGGTGGCATCTGGAAGTTTCCATCTTAGGTGGCAAGTCTCTCTCACATACACACATAAACCAGAGCAGCCAAGCATTTCCTCGGTAACCCTTCCTTCTTAGGACTCCTCCAAGGAATCACCAAGAGTAAAACTTGAACAATCTTCCTGATACCCCACTGGAAGGAATGCATAATTCCCCATCTACATTTGTGGTCTGAAATGTAAGTGTGAGCCTCTAAAGACGATACAGTGGGGGTTTTGTTTTTAGGGAAAAGATATTGGTGTGGGGGTTTACTGAAGACAGAAACCATGGCCTTGCACATGCCAAGCAAACTACCACTGAGCTACATCTCCAGCCCTTCCTAAAGACTCTGCCTATGGCACATGACCATGCTGACCATTGCTGACTGCTCAAAAGATTCTTCTTCAGGTCTTGGAAATAAACAGAAGCAAGTTCCTCTGAGGCTGCTGATAGCCAGGTTTCCTATCTTGAGGGAAGAGCACTGTTTGGGGAATGAGAGGGCACAAACAGAAGGGGTAAGGCCTGACGGTGGGCAATGCGTGAGTTCCTGAAGCCCAGCTACTCTGGACCTTCCCAAAGCTGCATGGCATAACTTGGCTGGTATCTTGCCCAGTTTGTAAAAACTACTATTAGTTAGTTAGTTAGTTAGTTATTGGTTTTTCAAGACACAGTTTGTCTTGACTATCCTGGAACTTACTCTATAGACCAGGCTAGCCTGAACTCAGATATCCTCATGCCTCTGCCTCCTGAGTGCTGGGATTAAACAAGTGTGCCACCACCGCCTGGCTTAATACTTATAATTTTTGAGACAGCTCTGAACTCAGGACCCTCCTGTCTCTGAAGAGCTGGGTCTATAAGCAGCTATCTGCCTATAAAGAAGTTATGGGCTCCGCTCACGATTCTCCTTCACTTTATCTCTTTGGAACTGAGTCTCTGATACTTCACATAAAAAGAAGTCCTGATCACCACATGGAGAAAGGCTTCTCTGAAGAGGGTTAGCAGTGCTGGGGCCATCTGCAACCCCAGCACTTGGGAGGCCGATGTAGGAGGATTACACTTTGATACAGTCTGGGCCACCCAGCAAAACCTCACCTTCAGTGATGGCCACAGAGGGAAGGAGGAGGGACGGACTAACACTGGAGCTGCAGTGAAGGGCAAGGGAAAATGTGACTAACCACGCGAGACGTCTTCCAGCTCTGAGGCCGGAGGACTAGTTTGGAGAATTACACTCCTTTTTCATCCGCCCTGTGTGGGACTGATCAAGTCCTAGGAAAGTGGGCAACTGAGAGAGGTGCCCTTTCCTCGGCCTGAGACAGAGCCATCCTGTGCGTAAACAGGTCTATGTGGATAGGGCCTGTACCCACGGCCACCATGCTATACATCCGCAGTCTACGGCTTAGGGCCTCTTTTCTCAACCTTTAAATGAGTTATCTGTCGATGCTATGCTATAAATCCCAATGCAGACAAGAGCATTTCCACGGCCAAGCACAGCTGTGGAAATTCCACACTATGGATGTATACACTCAGCATTCATTTGAAAACCTCACACTAGGTAACATGCTTGACCTGTTGTCAAGACAAAACTCCCCACCAAGGGAGCTGCAGTCCGGGGCTAGAGGCAAAAAGGCAAAAATCGAATGACCCCACAGGTCATGGCCTGTGGTAAGTGCTGTGAGGGAAAGGTACAGGAGGCACGGGAGGTACCAGCTGGGCCTCAATAGTCTCGGGGATGGGATGGGATGGGATGGGATGGGATGGGATGGGATGGGATGGGATGGGATGGGATGGGATGGGTATATTTCCCCATGGGAGAGACATTCAATGACATTCCGGAAAACGGACAGGAGTCAGGTGACAGAGGAGAAAGAACAGTACAGGAAAGTTGGTGAGAGGCTGTCCACACAGCAGCAGGGGCAGCAAAGTCCCCAGAGCAGGAGACACCACCATCAATCCGAGGACCTGAAAGACTAGAGTGGCTGACAAGTGGGGGCTGAGATGAGGTGAGAGGAGACGGAGGAAAGGACTTTTGTCCTTCCTTCTGAAAGGTATGATGGTTGAGACAGAGTCTCACAGGGTGGCACAGGCTGGCCTTAAACTGATGGCAATCCTCCTGCATCAGACTCTCTGGTGCTAGAATTATAAGTGCAAGTTATCGTGCCTGGCAAGGACTGTAGGTCTTTATCCTAAGAGGCCCTGGAACCCTGGAGGCTTCCAAACAGAACTCTCACATATTTTAGCATCACTCAGGCTGCTCTGGGGAAAATGAACTGGAGCGGGGCGGACCAATTATCTTGCTACTGTGTCCTGTGGCTATGACAAATACCCTGACAAGAGCAACTGAAGGGAAAAGGGGGTTATTCGCTCCTAATTCCACGTTAGTTCCTCAGGGCAGAAAGTCACAGGAACTTGAGGAAGTTGGTCACACAGAATCCACAGTAAAGCAGCAGAAGGAAGGAGGAATGCAAGCATGCTGGTGCTCGGCTTGCTGCTTCTCCTCATACAGTTCAGAGTCCTCTGCCTAGGGGATGGTGTCACCCACACTGGACATGTCTTCCCACCTCAGTTAACATACTCAAAATAAGCCCCTCAAAGGCATGTTCACAGGCCAACCTAGTCTAGACAATCCTTCAATGAAACTCCCTTCCCAGGTAATTTCAGGTTGTGTCAGGTTGACAAAACTAACCTTCCAGGGGCTGGGGAGGACCGCTCTGCAGTTAAGAGCATATACTGCTCTTATAAGAGAACCTGAGTTCAGTTCCCAAATCTCACTTCAGGCAGCTCATAACCACCTGCTCCAGGGGAATCCAGCACCTCTGGCTTCTGTGGGTACACACACACACACACACACACACACACACACACACACACACACACACACCACAGTTTATAAAAAACAGAACAAAACTAACCATATTAATATAGATCAATACAGGGTATAACCAGAAAGCTAGAATAAGAGATAAAATATGTATGACCCATGTCAATCAGGAGGAAGACCAGAGCGGGATTAAAAGCATTGGCTCTGTTTGGAGGATGTTAGCCTGCTTGCCTGGCACGAACAAGACCCTTAGTTTGTTCCTCAGCACTACAGAATGAGAAAGAAGAGCGTTGGTAGGGGAGAGGGGAAGGAAGAAAGGAAGAAAAAGAAAGAATGATGGAGGGATGGCTTGGCAGTTAAGAGCACTGGCTGCTATTGCAAAGGACCTGGGTTCAATTCCCAGCACCCATATGGTAGCTCACAACTGTCTCTTAACTCCAGTCCCAGGGGATCCGATGCTTCCTTCTGGCCTCTGCAGCCACCAGGCACACACACGGTGCACAGACATGCATGCAGTCAAAATATCCATACACATACTACAAATGAAACTTTTAAAAAAGCACCCAGCTTTGTGTTGTGGCTCTGCCATCTTTCCCATTTCCTCCACCTCTTTACTATGTGAGGATTAGACCACTAAAATATACACAGAACAGTACCTAGTGCTAAGCAACTTTGTGTGTTCGTGTGTGTGCAGGGTCTAGAAGACAACCTCAGAATTTGGTCCAAGAGCCATCCACCGTTTATTCTTTTAAAACAGGGTCTCGCAGTGGCTAGACTGGCTGGTCCGTGAGCCCCGGGGATCGGCCTGTCTTTACCCCCTAGTGCGAGGATTATAAGCATGAACTACCACTCTCAGCTTTAAAAACAACCAGACAAACAGGGGTTCTGAGCATCAAACTCGGGGCCTCTTGCTTGTGTGACCAACATTTCACCAACTGAGCTCTCTCCCCAAGGCCCACAGTAACCTGTTAACTGTGACCCAGGGCCAAACAGCTGCCACAGAAAACAGACATGGACTGTTAAGTTGGGAACGGGCTGGGCTGGGCCCTGAGTCCTGTCTACTGTTTACCTCTACTACCACCAGGTCTGATGTCTCGGTTACCCAGTCCTAAGTCCCTGGGACTTCAGTGAAGCCCTCTGTAATGAGATGAACCTCAGAGGGCCTGCTGAAAGCCTGTCTCCTGAGTACTGTGCTAAAGAATGGGCGGACAGCAACTGACTAGCTTAAAGGATTCTACCACATAGAATCACTCTCAACTTCATCAAACGTAAATGCTGACAAGCCACAAATCTTTGCTTTCTCACACAACACAAAATAAACACTGCACACAGTCACGTATACCTATAATTCAAGAACTCGGGAGGCAAAGGATGACAAGTTCAAAACCAGCCTAGGCTGTACAGCAAGACTGTGTCCAAAGGAGGGACATACACACACCCACGCACGCAGGCAGACACATGCATGCAGACACACACACACATACAGACGGACAGGCGGGCGGATGACCGGCCAGCCGGACACACACAGAAGAGAGAGAAAGAATATTCCAAATATTTTTGTGCTTGATAACAACATACAAACTGGTTTTAAAAGCAATGGAGGAGCTGGAGAGATGGCTTAGCAGTTAAGAGCACTGACTGCCCTTCTAGAGGGCCAGCACCCCCATGACAGTTAATAACTACCTCCACTCCAATTCCAAGGTGATACAACGTCCGTCCTCTTTGGGCCCACATGGGCACTGCATGAACACAGTACACAGGCATACATGCAGGCAAAACACCCATATACACAAGATTAAAAATAGCGTAAAAATATTAAAAACAACAAAAACCTAATGGAAGTGCAAGTCCACAAAATCAGCAGGAATAGCCTCCAAGGAAACCTACAGCTCAGAGGGTATGGTTAACAGAAGTTGCCAGCTGGCTTACCCACTTTACACTCTAACTACTGTCTGTGCCTTCCTAAGCCATGGTTTTGAACTGGTTTCAGGCAGAGACTCAGTTGACACGGGGTTCTTAACAGTCTGGAGACTTGTTTGGGGGCAAGGTCGCACACATCCTAACCACAGGGCCCATCTTAGAATAGCACCTTGAAGCCGGGCATAGTGGCACCTGCCTTTAACCCCAGCACTTGGGAGGCAGAGGCAGGCGGATCTCAGGTCTACATAGTCAATTTCAGGACAGCCAGAGCTACACAGTGAGGCCCTGTCTCAAAAAAAAAAAAAAAAGCATGTCCCCTGAAACCAAGGCCTGTGGCTGGGGAGGAACAATGGAGATGAGGACAAGGTCTTTAAACAATCCAGTCAGATGTTCTGAAATCGAGTCACAGCAGGACAGCAAGGCACTCTGTGACTGTCCACGTGCTAAACTTCTATCCAACATTCCTACCTGGATGCACCTGCCTGGCGATTCTGGTTTTACGTCTACAAAGTGAGACCACAAGGCCACGAATCTGAAGACTAGGGTGCCCCACAAACCTGGAACTAGCTCCAGATGAACTAGAGCTCTTCCCAGCCCAGAAAGTGCCTGAATGTCAAGAGCTAGTAACTGTTGGGCAGGAAGGCCTCTCTCCTAAAAGGCAGCTGCTGGACAGCACAGGCACACAGAGCCAGAATGAGAAAACAGGAGCTCTACTTCAGGGCGCAAAGGCAGTACTTTTTCATTGAGAACCGATAGAGGAGCAGGGAAATTGATATTTGGCCAGTTGCCTCTGGCAGCCCTGGAGAAACAAGCAGCTTCTGTTCCAGAGAGGGCAGAGCTGGGAAGCTGCTCTTCAGGCCAGCACAGGCACTCTCCACCACGCTTCATTCAGGAAGGGCCAAGTTTGTGGACTGCAGCCGCTCTGTCTCTTGGCAGATGTATTGCTCCGCCGTGTCACACTCAGCTAGGAACACCTACAAGACAGACACAGGCAGTGAGATCCCAGGCCCTCCTAGGACAAGCCAGCCACTGCCCACACAAGGCTCTTTGTTCAGCCATTCTCGGGAACCTGTTGATTAGACTCTCAACAGGTTGTGCAGGGATGGACATGGACTCCCAGTCTGGACTTCAAGGATAGTGAAACATTGGGCCATGGTTTCTGACTACGCCCTAGGCTAACCCTCCACAAGGGGGCACTAGACATACCAATGGCCCTTACTGGACCTTTGCCAGCCCTATCTGCTCTCCAGTGAACTTGCCCAAACTGATTAAATCAAATACACAGGGACAAGAATCCCCTTCTTGGGTTCATGTTAATAAACAAGCAGTAATAACAGACCATGCCTCTCACCACAGTTCTACACTACCCTGTTTTGAACAGATAAACACACATAGCAACACTCTAAATATATTACAGCCTGTCATGTACTCATATAACTCACCTGAACCTTTTTTACCAAATTCTTCCTTTTTAGCCTGCTGTCTTTAAAATTTTCTGGTAGGACCTATGGAAGAACCAGTTCACACAAAAAAATTAACGTCTGTAGTAACAATGACAAGAGACATTGGCAATCCACACAACACACCCAACAGGTCACCAATGTAAGTCAAATGTGCACTTTCAGGCATCACTTCTCCCAGTCTGCATCCTATGTGGCTCCTTTCATGGCTCTCATTCCTATGAATGGTCTCTCCTTTGGTTGCAATATCTGGACTGTAACCTGATCTAAAACACAGATTTTGTTTTTTCACTGTGTTTTACATATGGATACTACTTTGCAGGAAAGTACCTTCTGTTGTTTTGGGGTTTTGTTTGTTTGGTTGGTTTTTTGAGACACGGTTTCTCTGTATATCCCTAGCTGTCCTGGAACTCACTCTGTAGACCAGGCTGGCCTCGAACTCACAGAGATCTGCCACCACCACCTGGCTGTTTTGTTCTTTTTTTTTTTTTTTTTTAAATATTTATTTATTATGTATACAGTGTTCTGTCTGCATGTATACCTACAGGCCAGAAGAGGGCACCAGATCTCACTATAGATGGTTGTGAGCCATCATGTGGTTGCTGGGAATTGAACTCAGGTCCTCTGGAAGAGCAGCCAGTGCTCTTAACCTCTGAGCCATCTCTCCAGCCTGTTTTGTTGTTTTTTTAAGCCCCCGTCACAACAGATTCCAAGCCCAGAGAAGTTCACTCTTAAGAATAAAGCATCAAGCTAGAGATACCCTTACATTCATCTGTTAAAGAAAACTTGGGTCAGCGATTCAACAGCCTCCCAAGATCTGGCTGTGGCTGAAGTCTGTAGAAGAAATGAGCTCAGTGGCATCACCACCCGAGTCTCAGGAAAACACAGACCCATGCTTCCTTTACCTCAAGATCAAAGACCCATGCTTCCTTAACCTCAAGATCATAAACTTCTTGGGTTTCAGGTCCATGACCCCCCCCCACACACACACACAAGCGTGCGCACTCACACAGACACACTCGTCATATGTATTACAAAAGCCCTGTGTTGGTGGGCTGCGAATGCCTACAGGTCAGAACCTCCACATGTTCAGAACCTAGCACGCTGTCCTAGTTTCCTCCCTGGTGCTGTGATAAAAACACTGATTAGTTCGGGGAGGAAAGGGTTTATTTGGCTTATACTTCCAGGTCACAGTCCATCATCAGTGAAGTCAGGCAGAAACTTAGAAGCAAAAACCATGGACGAAAATGCTGCTTGCTGGCTCACACTTAGCTTTCTTTCTTTTTAAGGTTTATTTATTTTAATTTAATGGGTGTTTTGCCAACGTGTATATCTACATTATATGTATGCCTGATACCCATGGAGCCCAGAAGAGGACACTGGATCCCATGGAACTAGAGTTAAAGATGGTTGGAAGCAAGAGCAACCAGTACTCTTAACCTCTGAACCATCTCTCCAGCTCAAAGCTAGCTTTCTTTTTTTTCTTTTTCTTTTTTTTTTAAAGATTTATTTATTTATTATGTATATAGGGTTCTGTTTGCATGTATCCCTGCAGGCCAGAAGAGGGTGCCAGATCTCATTACAGATGGTTGTGAGCCACCATATGGGTGCTGGGAATTGAACTCAGGACCTCTGGAAGAGCAACCAGTGCTCTTAACCTCTGAGCCATCTCTCCAGCCCCAAAGCTAGCTTTCTTATACTTCCCAGGACCACCTGTCTGCAACCCATAGTGGGCTATGTCAATTATCAACCACCCCCCACTTGCTGATAGGCCACCTTAATCTGGGCAATCCCTTAATTGAGAGGTACTTCCTAGGTACCTCTAGGCTGTGTGAAGTTGGTAGTTAAAGCTAACTAGGACACATATACCTGGCACACAAAAGTACATGCTTAACATCCCCAAGTAACAGATTTTCCCGGCAATGGAAGTGTAATACTGACAGAGTAAAATGGCCTGAAATACTGTCATTAGAAAATAGTATCTCATGCCGGGCGGTGGTGGCGCACGCCTTTAATCCCAGCACTCGGGAGGCAGAGCCAGGCGGATCTCTGTGAGTTCGAGGCCAGCCTGGGCTACCAAGTGAGTCCCAGGAAAGGCGCAAAGCTGCACAGAGAAACCCTGTCTCGAAAAACCAAAAAAAAAAAAAAAAAAAAAAAAAAAAAAAGAAAATAGTATCTCCATGCTCAACTATGTTCATAACAGCATTATTCGTAATAGCCAGAACCTGGAAACAGCCTAGATGCCCGTCAACTGAAGAATGGATTCAGAAAATGTAGTACATATACACAGTGGAGTATACTCAGCAGAGAAAAACAATGACAGCATGAAATTTGCAGGCAAATGGGTGGAACTAGAAAATATCATACTGAGTGAGGTAACCCAAACCCAGAAGGACAAACATGGTATGTACTCACTCATAAGTGGATTCTAGATATAAAGCAAAGAACAATCAGACTGCAACCCACAGAACCAGGGAGGCTACATAGCAGGGGGGACCCTAGGATGACTGTGGCTTATAATAAGTTTTGGTTTTACTCAATTACTGGGCACTCAATGAAACATTTCGCTATTAGGATAAGAATTTATACTGTATCAAGCTGATAATAGAAAAATAAATAAATAAATAAAAATGGGAAAAAAGTCAAACAGACAAAAAAAAAAAAGAGAAATGAAAATAGTATCTCTAAGCTGAGTATTTACTTACCATTGTGTCAATCTCTTCCAAGATCTTCATGAACTGCTCAATTGTGGCCTTTACTTTCCTATCAAGTTTGCAGAGAGCCTCTGCTTGTAATTCCTTAGCCAGAAAACCCTGTGAAGGAATAAGGCACTATTGCAAGTGCTTCTTGAGACTCATAGAAAACCATACCACTATACTGATGAAGTGACCCAGAGTTTACCATTGCTCTAATAAGCCAGGCTGAATCTCAGACCTTCATCCCCTGGGAAAATTAGAAATGCTGGCCTTGGCCAGTCTAGAATCCTACCAGGCTGCAGGCTGCTCTTCTCATATGGTCCACTGAGACTCTGAATGCCTCTGAAGCCTAACTACAGTGTAGTCCTCAGTCCCAAGTGTACACATGCACATAAGAGGCAGA